AGTAGATCATAACAATATTTATGATAATTTTCCAGGCAAATTTGCCTGGAAAAGCCTACAGTTTAAGGGATAATATAATATTAAAATTAATAAAGATTCTTTATAATTAATTTGTGATCCACCAAAGAACCAGAAACAAAATATAGTAAACAACGAAGATATGTTTACTATATATTTTTTATTGTCTTTGAAATCTGAAGTTTCCCCAAAAAAAAACTTTTCTTTACTAAGCAAACCTCTCTTTGACTTCTAAGTAAACTTATAGAAGATCAAAATGGTGGTTTATACATTAAAATCGGCCCAGTGGATCGTGAGATATAAGTACTTTAGTCTTCATGACTATATGTTTTCTTTTAAAGAAGAGAACATATAGTTGCGATTGCAAAACACTCCTCTACAAGTTTACTTAAAAGTCAAAAAGAGGTTTGCTTAGTAAAGAAAAAAGTTTTTCTTTGGGAAACTCCAGATTCTAAAGACAACAAAAAATATATAGTAAATACCTTCACTGTTTACTATGTTTTGTTACTGGTTCTTAGGCGGATCACGAATTAACTTTATATTATTAGCTTTGAAGCAATGCTATAAAGATATAGTGGTTTAAAGTTCAGGTCGCAAAGCATGGTTCATGGACCATTAGGTGAAGTTTAGCTTTTTGTTTAGGCCATATTAAGTGTTTCACGCTGTAACTGTGAAGTGTATCGCGTGACTTGAGTTTCTAAAAGTCACCATAACGATAACTAATTAGAAAGCTCAATTTTCTTTTAAAATTTTATCATACAAATTTGTATGCTACGTAAAATATATGATTTAAGAGATAAAATATCATCAACTAATGGCAAGGCCATTTCTAAACAAGGAGTATCTTTGATTTGCTTATTTCTTGGATTATCTGTGTTAAATTCTGGTTCTATTTTATTTATTTTTTCTTGTTTTGTTTCCAATTTGCAAGCAATTGTATGAATAAACTTGCCTGAATCCTGATTCGGTATAATCATTGAATGGTATTATTATTCTTTTTAAATGTTTGATATGAAGCAACCCTTCCGATTGAACAGTATCCACTAAATTTATTATATAATCAGTTGCTACATTAGGTTGGGTAAGTATTTGAATTACGTTTCTTTCTATTGAATGGCTGGTTTTTTTTATAGTTTGTATTAATGACCCGTTTTTTGGCAAATGCTTCCGACCATCTTTTCATGCGAGTACATCAAACACCTTTCTCAAATCTTTAAGTTAAAAAAAAAACTGAAAAAAATAAATAAATAAATAAGTAAAAAAATAAATTAGAAATAAAATAAAAAATAAATAAAATTTTATCACGTAGATATCATTTTTAAATTTTTTTTTTAAAAAAAAATTCTGATTTGCAATAATGAGGTAAATTTGTTATGCACATCGGTGATATGGGGAAAATCACCGTTGACACTTACTTTCAAACGGTGGATTTTCCTAATCCATTCACCATATTTGATATGTCCACTTGCACGGTTTTTTCATGGGAATAGTAATTTTTAGACCCTTATCTGCACCCACTTTTATCATGATCAAATTTGATCGTCTTTCCACCTCCACCTCGTAAACCACTTAGAAGACAACCAAGAATATACTCAATACGAGTCTTCTAGTATACTTTCATTATTATCATCTCATCATAAGCAAGTGATCACTTTATTTGCTTATTGCGGATTCGCATTGAGCCAATTTATTTTTCCATCAATGGTTGGAGGACTGATTCTTATCATGATATATTATCCCACATAATTTGTCAAAATATTTACCGTAAAAGGTCATATACGAGATCATACAAGACCGAGTCTGTTACATTCTACCGATTTAATAGACCGGGATATAGTATATAGCTGAGCGTTTATATTGTAGCATGGTAAATTCTAAAGTGCATGCACAATTTTCATTTATAATAAGCAGTCTAGATCTTTAAAACGTCCAGTGATTCACACATGGGTCTAATTCATGGTAGGTCTACTATCAAAGAGGTTCTTGTTTATAACCTTTCACGATATTTATTGTATTGACTCAATAGCATGATCAATGTTCATTTTGCGAAGGCATGGCAATTTGTATCCAAAAATAAGAGATCAATAAATTAGCAAATAAATATACTGTATAAATCTCATCGTCTTTATTTTTATCAAAATCTACCGCTACATTCATTAGTTTCAACTTCGTCATAAGTAACATCCGAATCAAAAGAATTATTTATCTGTTCGTGTGACCACAAGTTATATAACAATATAGTCGAAGTAAAATTAAAATCGTCTAGGTTCATTATTTGAGCGAAAAAAAAATCCCAGTGAAAAAAAATTCAAACGAAAGAAAAAAACTCAAGTGAGAGACAAAAAATTAAACTATTTGAAGTAATCAAATGATGGTAAAAAAAATAATTAAACTATATCAATTTCATCTTCTGTTTCTAAATATATTTCGTCAATATTTTTATAAGAAATACCATCAACGATAACCTTTTTGAACTTTCTAACAGTGTATTTTCTAATTTCTTTTCCTCCAATCGACATATTCGAAGATTCCACATTATTTTTTACTTCAATTTCAAGATTATTATCTTCTGTTTCTAAATACACTTCGTTGACATTTTTAGGAACAAAACCACTAATGCCAACTTTTTTGAGATTTTTAAGAGTATATTTTTTAATTTCTTTTTCAATAGTTGACGCATCCAAAGATTCCACATCATTCTCTGACACACTCGGGGATTCCATGTTAGCTGGAAAGCTAGAAGGTCCAGCATAGCTTGTTGATACTCTCGAGGTTTCCATATCATTCACTAATAAGTTCCGGGGTTTCTTATCAGATTCCTTGTTACAGTCACTTTCGATCTGGTTCCAAAGTTCTTTATGGTATAACATAAAGTGTCGTTTAGGATTAGAGACACTCGTATTAGATTTATAAGAGAATATGGGATCTTTACATTCTTTACAATAAATTCGATCGGAATCTGAATTACGTGAAGTAAAATATTCCCAAATTGGATGATCTCTTTTTCTTTTGGACTTTCTATTTTGACTCATTTTTTTCTATAAACAAATCAGTCAAATTTGTAAAAAAAAAAAATAAAATAAAATAAAACTGATAATTCTGAAATGTTAAAATTTATATGGAATTCTTTTTGTTAATCTGGTGTACCCACCCACAAAAATTTAGTCACCCCCTGTAATTTTTACCAATCGAATTTTAAGATCAGGTATGACCAGTGATGGGTTCGGACAGTGTCCCTAGCATTTTAGTCTTGTCCCCATCAGTGTCCCTAGAATATTTTACCTTTTATTTAACTTTCAAAAATGATATATATATAATTAAATTTTAATTATTTTTATTTAAATTATAAGATCGGTTGCCTTCATAAAATTTTGAGTTATTAATTTAAATTGTCCCAAATTTGTCCCAATTGTCCAGAACCCAACACTGGGTATGACGTAAAATCGAAACGACTAGTAGGTTAGTGATGTCCAAAAAATTTTACCATTTCGTGTAACCCGAGCTTCCGTGCTTAATTAATTAAATTTTGGCGAATTTTGCTAATAAACCCGCTAACCGATGTATTAAGTAAAGTAGTAATTTTGCTATAATATTTGAGCGTCGCCAAGGGAAAACCAGTAATTGTTAGTTTTCCGAAATTTCATTTTCAGCAACGATTTATAAGAATCTGATCTTGTCTGTTTCTAAAAGTGAAATTTCCGAAAATCAATTACTTGTATTAGGCTTGTATTAGTGCTTCGCAGGTCCGATCCGAGGTCCGAGTCTGATCGTCGAATCGAATTCCGGAAGCTCGGGTTACACGAATTAGTAAAATTTTTTGAATGTCACTAACAGTCGGCCGACATGTCGTTTACAATTGCAGACTTATTGATCAAATTAATTGACGTACTTAAATTTTATAAG